TGTGTGTGTGTATGTGTGTCTATTGTATGTGTGTTTCATGGGGGTATATCTGTCGGCTTCTCATTTTGTATTTTGGAATGTTACCATATTCGAAATAGATCTTATTATTTTGAAGTTTTTTCTTGGTTTCATTCGACACACAAAGATTTTAATTAGTAATTAAATTAATTAATCATTTAGTCAACCAATTAATCAATCAATCAATCAATCAATTAATCAATCAAATTACAACTAATCTTTAATCAGTGGATCCTTCCAATCTTTTTGAAAATGCGCCACATAAATGTGACGGATAATTAGTATGATCAATCATTGAATCACACAACAAATTGTTCAATCATTCAATCAACCATCCATTCAATCAATCAATCATTCAAACATCTATTCAATCAATCAATCAACCATTCAATCAATCAATCATTCAATCAATCAATCATTCAATCAACTATTCAATCAATCAATCAATCAACCATCCAATCAAGCAATCAATCAATCGACCAGCTGACAAATGACGTCGTCACTGACAACAGAGAGAGAGAGAAAGAGAGAGATAGAGAAAGAGGGAAAAAGGAAGAGAAAGAGAGGGAGAGGAGAGAGGGAGAGGAGAGAGAGAGGAAGGCCAGCCAGGTGTTGGGCGTGATACGAAAGAAAATTTGTTTAGGCATCCCACTATTATTATTTCATTATTCATTTTATACTATTATTATTATTATTATTCATATTATTATTATTATTACTACTACTACTGTTGTTGCTAATCTTATTATATTGTTACCTGCAATAAATACTGATTTTACCAAACAATCTTAAATAAATAATGAGAATATTTTCACATGAATATTTTCCACCAGGATTGTATATCAGATACATGTAAGATACAGATACATATACTTGTGGAAAATCGACCCACATATTTTATCTCAAGAAAATTGTACCGTCTAACTTGTAGTAGTACTATAGTAACATCAACATTACTACCAAGTACAAATATTGTTGAGAGTAGTGGGAGAAGTAACAACAGCAGCGATTTCAGTGGTAAAAGTTGTAGTAGTTGTAGTAGTAGTAGTAGCAGCAGTTGTTTAAAGATTATTTGTAGTATCGATGGCTGTAGCAGTTGTGGTAAGTGTTAGTTCGGCATCCACAATGTAATTAATTGTAGAATGAACTATAGTAGTAGAAGTAATAGTAGTATTAATTGTAGAAGTAGTAGTTGTGAATATAATTAAAGTAGTAGTAGCAGTAGTAGAGTGGTAGCAGCAAGAATAGTAGTAGTTTTAGCAACCATATAAGTAGTAGTAGTAATAGTAGTAGTAGTAGTAGTAGTAGTAGTAATAGTAGTAGTAATAGTAGTAGTAGTAGTAGTAATAGTAGTAGTAGTAGTATTAGTAGTAGTAGTAGCAGTAGTAGCGGTAGAAGTAGTAGTAGTAGCAGTAGTAGCAGCAGTAGTAGCAGCAGTAGTATGAGCAAAGTCGATAAGGAAACGTTTATCCGTAATTTGCGTAGAAATCGAATAAATGAACACAATGGAAATGTACATATTGAAGAAAATCAAGGCTCTGTCACTCAATTAACTTTGTATTATGTTGTTGTTGTTGATGTTGTTGTTGTTGTCGCTGTTGTTGATGGTGATGTTGTTGTTGGCAATGTTGTTGCAGCTGATGTCGCTGTTGTTGGTGATGTTATTGTTGTCGATGTTTTTGTTGTTGTTGTAAATGTTGTGATAAAAGTTGTTGATGTTGAAGTTGATGTTGTTGTTGATGCTTTTGTTGATGTTGTTGATGTTGTTATTGTGGTTGTTAATGTGTTTAGTTGCTGTTGTTTATTATCATTTTAAACGTGTAGTAGTGGTTAAGGCGTAGTAACGGTGTAACGGTAACGGTAAGTATAGGTGTAGTAACGGCGATAGTAATAATAACATCTTGTAAAGTTAAAAAACAACAATAATAATCAAAATGACAACAGCAATAACAAAAACAACAACAACAACAATAACAACATCCCGCGCTGATGCGTGCACCAGAGAAATCACAGAAATCACGTGACTCTCAGTTGACCAATTGAATGATGTTGTCTTGATGATAATGATGATGATGACGACGATAACAACGATGACGATGATGATGCTGCTGACAATGATAGTTTTGATGATGATTTCAGTAATGATAAGGAAGAGGAATAAAAAGATGATGAGGAGTACGATGACGATGATGACGATTTTGATAAAGAAAATACGATGATGATAACGATGACGACGATGATAATGATGACGAAGAAGACGAAGAAGATGATGATGATAATTTTGATAATGAATTCAATGATGATGCTAATGATGATGGTAATGATGATGATTATGATGATGATGATGACCGGGTGAAAAAAATATTTTACTGGATAATTCGTGGCATCCGGCTTTCAATCACTCTAAAATACCTTTGCGTGATTTTTGCGCTTACCTCGGTGTGTTGTATTTAAGATTTTCTGCGCGCCCATGCGTTTGTGTTTGTTTTCTATGAATGTTTGTATGTATTTGTATATGTTTTTGTATACATTTCTGTATGTTTTTGTATACGTTTTTGTATATGTTCTTGTTCTTTGTTGTAATATGTGATTCTGTGTGTTTTGTACATGTTTTTGTTCATTGTTGTATGTGTTTTTGTATGTTTTGTATATGTTTGTAGGTTTTTGTAACTGTTAATGTATTTTTGAGTGTTTTGTATGAAATTTTTGATAAAATGTTTTTTTTCTCAATTTTATTTGATTGCATATGTTTCATTTTTATTTTTTATCACTTTTCTTCATTTAAATGCTCTTACTTTTCAATATTTTGACTTGTTTCTTGTTGTTTCACATGTTTTTTTGTAATACAAACTATTTAATGAGATGAATTTAGTTCAACTACTAATATTATTATTAAATTTATTTTTTTAAAATCAAGATTTCAAATGATAAAGTTTTCAAGATGTATAGAACACTGCATATAAAAATTTGTTAAACTGTGAAAAAGTTAGTTTGGTCACAGAAAAGTCAAATTGGAAGCGAAAGAAAACATTTCGTACGATTAAAAATTTTTAAAGACTTTCAAAAACAGAATTCAGAGAAATTTTGTTGTATTAATTTTTGGCAGAAAAGTTAATGCGTTGGACTAAAATTGAATCTGCCAAAAATTTTCTATGGATTGCTCAACATTTGAAAAAGGCTATTAATTATTTTATCAGTTTACTAACTTATCTATCTCTTATTTAAGTTATAAAAATTTAGCTAGTGAGTTGTTGTAGATATGTATCAGAACGTAATTACTCAACAAATTAATTTTTTTTAATCCTAACAACCAAAATGACAAAATGAAAGAATTAGTCATACAGAGTTAAATACATCACACTAAACATTATTTAAAATCTTATTTAATTTCTTTCTATTTTGTTTTAAAACATTTTGCAAAATATTAAAAAAAATTAATTAGCCCGAGAACTTATTTTTCTCTCCAGAATTCCTCAGATTAAAATTTTTCAGGAAATAAATTAAGAGAAGTATTAACGATGTGATTCAATAACTTCACATGTCGGAAGGCTATTGCCAAGAGATGACGAGCAGCTTGGATTGAAAACAGACAGGCACCTATGATAGATCGGTCGTCGCCTCGTGGAAAATACAACGACATTATTATTATTATTATTATTATTATTATTTATTATTATTATTATTATTATAAGATAATAAGTTGATTAATTTATCTTCAATTTATTTTAAATTGTGTAAAAGTATTTCAGAATTAATATTGAGTAAACGAATGAATCCTTTTAAGTTATTAATAAATTTGTATGCTCTTAAGCCATATACCGAGATTGAATGTCTAAATTTTTATGTTTCTTGCGATATTTTTGAGACGTCTTCTTGCTCTAACAACATTTTGTTTGATTGAAGCTCTCTACTTGAAAATGACATTACTATTGTTTTTTTTTTTGTTTTAAACGAATAATGAAACATTCTACCATCTAGCTAAGCCATCATTTTTACGGCAACTGGGGAATTATGTTAAGTTTTCAATCATTTAAATTTGAAGAAAAAGACATGGAATAGAGAGATAAAGAGAGGTAAAAAGAGATAAAAAAATATAAAGAGAGAGTTGGAGAAATGTTAAAAAAGAGGAAGAGAAAAGTAAAAAAGAAAATAAAAGCAAAAGATTGAATGGGTGGGAGCACAAGTGAAACATGTTCTAAGAAAAAAAAAATAAATCGCTAGGCTTATTCTTTTGGTACATGATATTTTATTCGATGGACATCTTTCAAGCAAAAACTCTTTATAAAGAAATTTTTATAGAATGCCTTTCTTTTTATTACATGAAATTACACTACCCGTCACATCTTTTAAAATTTGTATTTCTCTCAACTCAAACATTTAAACATCATCAAAATCAACATTGTTTGTTTTTAAATAAATCTTTCAATAATTTTTCCAAAAAACAAAATTCCCGGCCTGAGAGGGATCAAATCCGTGTTTCTGAGAAGTTAAAGTTCATTTGTTCTTGTATCCTCACCCTCTGATCTTGTTTCACGTGGAAGGCTTTGTCATTTGGTCCTCGCTTCTTCAAACGGCTTCTGCATGAGTGAGTGAAGAAACTTGTAATTAAATAAATGAATAAATAGATTATTATTTAATTAATTAACTCGTCCAATAAAAATAGTTAATGTAATGTTACTTTTTAACTGTACAGTATTTGAATATCGTGCTGAATATATAAGATGGACAAAGTAGTATTTTTTCGTTGTATAACTTCTATGAAAATCAAATATAAATCAAAGCATGCAAAATAAATTTCAGTTATGTTGACTAATTGTGATTGTAAATAAAAATTAAAATCTTCGAAACACAGACGCCTCCACACACACAGACCACACACACAAACAAACAAACACACACGTATACCACACAAACAAATAAACACACACTGACACGCACACACGCCACACAAACATTCAAACACACACACACACAAACAAACATTACCTTCGATTTTGAAACCAAATCAAAACCTGCCTCTCAGTCAGTCCGACAACATCAGCAAACTCAACCCTCTCCTCTCTACTCAAAAAACTTTGCTTCAAAAATCTCTCTTCCAATTTTTCCAACTGGTAATTACTAAATATCGATCGTTTGTTGTTTTGGAAATAGGACGATGTCGACGATGAAGCGGCTGCTGTGGCTGGCGATAACGGCGGCGATGGTTGCTTTGATGAAAATGATAATGACGATGATGATGATAAAAATGATGTTGATGGTGATGATAAAGATAATAATGAGGTTGGAGTTGGGAATGGTGATGGAAACGAAGTAGAAGATCCAGATGAGGACCTAGGTGATGATGGAAGCTGTGGTAAATGTGATTCTTCTATAGATGAAGATGGTTTAAGGAATGAAGATGCCTTAAAAGTTAATGAAAATTCATTATATTTTGTTGAAGGTGAGTATGCTGAAGACGACGATGATTGGTTGAAAGATGTCGATGATGACGTCAAAATCTGATAACTCGACGAAAATGACGGCGTTGATGATGGTGAAGATGGTTTTGCGAATGACGACAAACATGACGATGATGATAAAGAGGATGGTTGAATTGTTGATGGTTTTATGAAAAATTTTTGCGTATCTGATTCATTATCTCGATAATATCGGTGACCATAATGATGTTTTTGTTGTTGTTGATTTTGTTCTTGTTGGTAAGTGCTGTGCAGACAGTAAGGATGATAACTTTGAAAATAATTTTGTTGATAATTTTGCATTTTTAGTCTTTGCTGATAGGAAGAGTAAGAAGAATTATAATAATTCCTATCGTAAACGTTCAAACTCTGAAATCCATGATGCCGGTTGTTCATCGTGCTGTTATAATTGTTTGAAATATTTTCGTCGTTGTAAATGTAGTTGCTAGACCAGATGCTGTTGCTGTTGTTGTTGTTGTTGTTGCTATAATAATTAATGTTTTGGCCAAAATCATCTAAATTATTCCCATCCAAATCATCGTAGTTATAATTGTTGGTTTTGTAGCATATGTTTTGCTGGCTATCCGACTTTAGCTGATTTTGATAGCGAGGTAGATGTTGTTGTAGCTGTTGTAGTTGCTGCTGCTGCAGCATTTGTTGTTGTTTTAACTGCGGTTGTTGTACGTGATTCGAGTTTGTAAAGTCATTGATAGAGATTTGATCATTGTTTACAGTAGAAATGCTTTTAATTTCATCATATACATTAGTATCTCCGATGTTTATGTTGTTGTTTGAGTAGCTGTTCTTGAAGGGTGGCCTTGCAAAAATCTCGTTGTCTAGAGCATCGTTCTTGTTGACGTCATTGTTGTTGTTCACTTTAAAGCAGTTGTTAATGTTGTTGGAGTTGTTGTCATTGTTGACGATGTCGCTCGAGTTGATGTCGTTGTTGATGTATTTTACGGCGTCGTCGTCGTCGTCGTCGTTGTTGTTGCTGCTTAGGATGTTGTTAATGTTGATGTTGATGTTGTTGTTTATGACGTTGCGGTTTTTTTTGTTGATGCTATTGATAATTTTATCGTCCATGTTCGCGAATGAGGTTGTTGTTTAACTTGCAATGTTGTTGTAACCTTTTTGTCGAGTTACAACTTGACGATGGTCATAATCCGTTGTGTTGCGTTATTCAGAAATAAATACAAAAAAAACAAAACAAAAAAACCAGATTTAAAAGAATTTTAGTCAATTTAACTGTTTAACAACCTATTCCATGCTCTATAATTGATGTTGCTAGCTTTCAAATTATCATATCCATTTCGACAATAAGAAATAAATACGGAAATATGAAATTGCTACCACCAAAATTTTGGGTTATATACCTAAAGACTGCAGAACCAACAGCTTGATGATAAGCTGTTGCACAATCTTGTTAACACCGTTGTCATGTGTATGATCATGCCAAAACATGTGTTTGTTTGTGTGTGTGAATGTGTGTGTGTGTGTGTATGTGTGTAGGTGGGTTTGTGTGTGTATGTGTGCGCGTGTGTTTACACTTCATCTTTATACCACCTTACACACCATTCAAATGACTACATCAGCTATTTTTAATATACTAATCATTTTCAATATACAATATCATTTCATCGTCACTAAAGCCAAAGCAATCATCATCGAGATCAAAGTTAAGTTTATAAGCTTATTAACTTTAAAACAGTGTATATAATTTATAGGTATGTTTGTGTGTATGTCTGCGTGTATGTGTGTATACTGTATAGCCGCTGAGAAATTTCGAAATTTCATAAAGTGTTATGGCTGTGTGTGTGTGTGTGTGCGTGTGCGTGTGCGTGTGTGTGTGTGTGTCTATGTGTGATTGTCTCTCTCCTTTCTTTTTTTTTTTCTTCCCCGCTCTCTCTCTCTCTCTCTCTCTCTCTATCTGTGTGGTAGGTTTACAAACAGTTTATTTTGTTTATATTTCAAATAATGTTTATTTTTTTATGTTTATTTTTATTGTTGCTTACACGTATTGATTAAAGTATTTTTTCAAGATAGGGAAACTTGAAAATTTGATAAGGTAATAAACGCTACCATGAAACTTGGTTATAAATTTCGTAAAATCTTTAAATATCACCATCCCTAAAAACATATAATACACCTGAAAATAAAATCCTATAATGATAATAATAATAATAATTTTAATAATAATAATAATAAGAACAAGAAGAAGAAAAAGAAGAAGAAGTAGAAGAAAAACAATTATCCACATCACAAACAATTAGCAACTTTTAAAGTGTAGCCGCTGCAATTGACGGCGCTTAATCTTGTACTATCATTATTCAATGCCGTTACGTAATATACAATCATGTGCCTGTATGGATGTATGCGTGTTTGTGTGTGTATGTTTGTGTGTGTGTGTGTGTTTGTGTATGTGTGTGTGTTTGTGTGTGTGTTTGTTCATCTTTATCAACGTTACTAACTCCGTCACTATGGCCATCTCCAATCACGCTATTAAAACACTCGCACTGTTAGAAAAGAACGGATTTAATTATGATTTTATTATACCCTGACATTCAAACATTGCCGTTGGGATTTTAAATTTGTCAGAAATTTAAACAAAATAATCTCCTATAATTGTTATTTAAATGGTATCGTTTCGAAATATTGTTATTTGAATAGTAGATTTTTTTTAGAATTTTTCTAAATTGTTGTTTGGAAATAACATTTTTTAGAGTCAGAGTTTCGCTTTGGTTTCGCAATAAGATTCCGAAATAGTTGACTATTTTGTGATAATGTAGATAATAAATTGAAGAGAAAAAATTTCAGATCATTCAACACATAGGACTGACTATTAAATTTCCAATATTTTTTCAACAATTACTTGATACATAATGATAATTATGGTAGCAATAAAACTGAAATAAATTAAATGTAAATGTAAAATCTTTTCAAACACAAACAACAATTTTAACAAACTTAACGACAATTTTCAAAAGCATTGAATAAAGTAACATAAATTTAAAGATACAATCGTCACTAAAAACCATTATTAAATTCTAATATTTATATATAAATATATGAAACTCTTTTGTCAATAGGTTAAATTTTGAAAATCGTTAATTCAAAATCATTAATTAAATAATTAGTTAATAAATTATTAATTAAATGTTTTTATGACTAGCTTCTGAACGTTAAAAACGGCAAATAAGCAACATCGAAAAAACGATTTTTTGACAAAAATATAAGGATATCATTATTTTAAAAATAATTTTCAATGACAATCATGTTTTCAAAGAATGATTAATGGAAGAATGATAAGTTAGACAAAAACAACTAACTAATTAATAGTTTTTAATAAAATAGTTATGTCGATATTAATTCAATAGCAGTAAGATTTGACGAATCGACGTAAAAATTTGAAAATTAATTCATTTTTCGATTTTTAACTGCTGATTGAACTACAAACCTCGAGCTGACTTAGTCCTTAGATCAGATATTTTAAATCTAAAACATCCTGGTCTATCTACGGTCGTCTTCACGTTCGCAAATTTTCTGAATTTCCGTTAAACATTCTGGATTTTATTTTTCTCTTGTTTCTCTAGAACTCTATTCATTTTTCCCTGACTAATTCTCCATCACTTAGAGCAATTTCAGAGCAAATCTCAAAACCCATCTGTCTGCGAAGTTCATTGAGGAGCGTTGTTGAACTAAACGGAAATGACGTTCTACAATCAAGTTGATTGATTAAATACCACATCGATTGGCTGTTTCAGTATCTTTTTAAATATCGAACAAGTTGTCTAAGTAAAAAACTAAAATTGGTCAATTATAGCACAAAACATTGTTTATTACATCAATGCTATTGACAGTTATATATTAAGCTATAAGCCAATGACATTTTAACGCGCTGATAACATTCATATTAGTAAGAAAGAACGATAAAATGTTATTTAGTACATTATTATCTATTTTCTTTAAAAAATGAAAAATATTAGTAATAAAAATAAAGTGTTTTTATGATGCTGGAAAATGTGTAAAGCAAGTTAGTATCATTAAAAATATAAATAGTGTTCGGAGATAGCAAGCCGAAAAGAAAATAAGAATTAGAATAAAATAAATAAAAGGCCAATATGAACAAATGGAAAGAAAGTTTATTGAGATGTAACAGTATATACAACAAGCTTGTGTGTGTGTGTACATGCGTGTGTGGTGCGTGTGTGTGTAGGTGTGTTTGGTTGTATGCGAATGTTTGTATGTATGGTTTTTTGTATCCTGTGTTTTGTTTGTTTTATATTTACGTGTGTGCTAACACGAGAACATACCTGTGATTTGCATGCAACGTTTTGACGAACAAGGTGTTTGTTTGGGCTTTTCAAATTATATTAAAATTATGAAAAATGGTAATGATGATTATAATGATGTCAATTTCATAATGATAAAAATTATTTGACCTCAATTCATTACTTTTATTACGCAGTTTTAACGTAAAAGTTGGAGACGTAGATCTAATTTTAAAACGCGTTTTCGTCTCTACTGAGTTTGTATTTGAACGTGCCCTCATAGTAAATTAATTTCTATTTCTATCTCCAAGATTTAAAATAACAAAAAATGCAACACAGTTTTCAAGCTTGGAAATAAACTTAACTCCAGTCTCAACTACAGCTAATGAACTTGGTGAGTAAGATGAACCTATGAAAATTCATTTTATATATTACAAACTTATGCATACAAAAAATACAGAAAGACACACATTTCAAAACACACACACACACACACACACACACACACACACACACACACACACACACACACACACACACAAACAAACAAAAACACATAGATACACCGACATGACATAAGTGAACTTTATAAAAATTTTGTCACATCACGATACTTTTAATAAGAAGTATTTAGAGTGAAAATTCATTAAAAAACAATTTTCCCATAGATAACAAGGTTTAGGTTTATTAATATCCTCAATTTTATGTTTTGCCGCATCACACTTTAGTTGCTAACAATGCCTAACTCAATCTTACGACAATATTTAAAAATAAAAATAATTTAAGATAAATTCGTTTTTCTTAACCAAAGGGAATTTGTACAATTAATTTTAATGGTTTTTTATGAAAAATGTTTTATAGATTTTGAATTAGGGTTAGCAGACATTAAGTAATATTCGTTTAAATATATTAACAATTAACACAAAAATACTTTGTAACAACGTCATAATCATCGTTACAATTACCTTTGGATTCATCATCACCATCACTATGGCCATCATCGTCGTCATCACCATCACCACAACAACCACCACCACCACCATCATCACTTTCACCATCATAATTTTTTTCAATTTAACAATCATCTTTACTTTGGCCATCATAATCAAAATCATGATCATCATCATTGTCATCATCGTCGTCGTCATCATCATCATCATCCAAAATCATCATAATCACCATCGTCATCATCGTAATTATCATAATCGTCGACATCATTGTCATCGTCGTCCTCATCATCACCACCATCGTCAGACTCCTCTTTAATTCCTATCGACACTGGATTGCATGGATTTCTTGGCCGCTTCAATGTCAATCTTTTCGACGCGCAGATTCGAATCCATATCCGTCACAGACTGAATAGCCTCCGCCAGGGCCTTGAAATGTGTAATTTCATCATTATGATTTATTACTTATTTGTGGCGCAATGATTAAGGTGTCTGGCACTGCTACTGCCGTGACCTGGTTCAAATGCAGAGAGATACCCGCTATTCACATGCGACATGTGATGTGCGTAGATTCGCGTGTATGTAATAACATACTATGTGTGTATTTCTTAAACACATCTGAAAAGAATTAAAAAAATTAAATATAGTAAACTAATTTAGAATATTTTTGAATTTTATATCAAAAATTAATTAATTAAATTTAGTAAACTAATTGAATATTAAATTGATTTTGAAAAATAAAAGTTGGTACATTATCGTAATCGACTCCTTCCTCACAGCTGGTCACAGTGGTGAAGACGCGTTCGTTGGATTCTAAGATATCTCCGTTGGGTGTTAAAACTTGCTGTTGGTGGAAAGGTGTTACTTTACGATGATGTCATCGTCAGCACCATCTTCATCGTCATCTTTTCCACGGTCGTCATCACCATCGTTGTCGTCATCGTCATTGTCGTCATCATTGTCATCAGCTTCAACGTCTTCGTCGTCACAACACGCCACTTATTTGCTGTCGCCACAAACACCCACCCACCTCAGTAATGGTAGTGGTGTGAGTAAAAGTTTGTTCACCAGTCGACAGTGGCCTGCCTGGTAGCGGCTGTGGTGGGTTGTCTCTGGTGGTCGTCGTCTTGGTGGTTTTAATGACGGTGTTGTTATGTTCATCTTTCGTTATTTCCTGAGAATCCACATCGTAAACGAACTCCTATTGTTGAGTTTGCGTGTGAAATTTGTAAAAATAATAATTATAGTAGGCCTAAAGTTAATAGTAGTAGTAGTAGCAGCAGCGACTGCAAACAGTAGTAGAGTGTCAACTACCGCCACCACATTCTCAACCAACTACCAACATTTTTATGAAGAACAGTGGATTCCGGCCTAGCGCTGACGATCACGGCTTTCTTTGCAGTCACCATCATTTTCGTCTGATCAACAGAGAGTGTGTCTTCGTTACTATCGGCGTTCATCGAGCCATCGTTCACGCTTCTGAACGTTGGTGTGGTTGCTGCTGCTGCTGATGGAGGAGGGGTTGGGGGAACAGTTGCCGATTGTTGCCCTGATGCTGGCTGTCGCTAAGTTGGTAAAATGTCAAGGTTGTTAAATTGATTTGTTCCGCTGATGTTGGGTTAGTGGTCTCTAGGTGGTCTGATTGCTGTTTTGTTCTGGTCGTTGAGATTGATTTTTGTTTCATGTCGTTTTATCATCATGATCAACATCATCATCGTCGTCAAAATTTTCATCATCATCATCATCGTCATCATCTTCATCGTCGTCATTATCATCATCATCGTCTTCATCATCGTCGTCATCATCATCATCATCGTCTTCATCATCTTCGTCATCATCATCAAAACCTGTTGACTCTTTCCATCCTGCGCCATCATCATCCTCTCCTCCTCACCACTGGCAAATGGAACATTCGACGAGGCGCTCTTGTTAGGATGCTTCCCTCTCATCTCCAACGTCGAAGCATCTACCGCCCCCGCCCCACCTCCACCAGACTTGTCGCCATTCATTGGCACTGCTGTTGGGGATGTTGATGATGATGTTGATGATGATGATTATGATAAAGATGATATTGGTGATAGTGATGTTGATGATGATGATGTTGATAATGATGTTGATAATGATAATGGTGATGATGGTGTTGATGGTGATGATGATGTTGATGATGTTGATGATGATGGTGATGATGTTGATGATGATGGTGATGATGTTGGTGATGGTAAGATTGCAATAATGGCTATGATGGTAATGTTTGCAATTGTCACTAATGATTGACTGCTCAGATAAATTATAAATTTTAGTTAATAATCTTGGAAACGGCAGTGATGATAGCAACATAATAATCCCCATCCCAATCATCATCGTTCTGTAAGGAAATGGGTAACCCGGAAGAACACTCACAAAGAACGTGAATATTCCATGTATAGAGAAGATGGGAATGATATTCCATGAGTTGATATAGGAAATGGATCGTTAAAGAGATATCATTGGCTAGAGATATCCGTGGAATACAAACATGGCGTGACATGATTATCTTCTTTATCATCATAATTTCTACCCGAATCATACTCAACTTCATCATCATTAACATCATCATCATCATCATCCCCACCACCACTACCATCTTCCTACTCATCATCATCATCACCATTTTCCTACTCAACATCATCATCATCATGACTGACCACCATCGATGCTTCTAGAACCGACAACCCTCTTCTTGCCACTTCTGTCAAAACAGGGTGCGGGCCTGTCCACAAGGGATGTGGCCTGTCTTATCTGGTACTCCGTTCTGCCCTCGTACTGAAACCCTGACCCTTTGTGATGATGATGGTGACGACGATGATGATGATTATTGTGATGATGGTGATTAATTTTATTCAAGTTTTTGTTTTGATTTGTTTGTAAAGAGTATAGTTCGATCAGACTGGCTCAGTCAGTTTGTTTAAAAATGATTTGTATAAATTTGATTGATAACCTACCTTACTCTTGTGTGATTAAATCACTTTAATGTTACTGGCTACTTAAATTTATTTATAAAAAATAATGTAAATTTAATTTATAAATAAATAATTCAATTTAATTTGAAAACGGATCAATTAATTTTAATTAGTTTACTCACATTATTAGTGAAAAATTAAAGCTTAATTCAACTTAATTAGCCATATTAATTTTTTCACAAAGAATCAATCAATAATCTTTGGTTTATTTAATTTATTCACAATTATTAATTGGCTAACATAATTTATTCATGAATAACTTAGTCAAATTTCATTTCATAACCTAATTTATTCATGAATAAATAAGTCTTATTTAATTGGCTAACCTAATTTATTCAGAACTCCTTGCGGTGCTGGATCAGGTTCTCTTAGCCTATCGCATTGTCGATCGATAATATAATGAGATGTTAATGTATTCATGAACAGAAAATAAAAAGTAATGAAGTTCTTGTTACGCAAAATAAAAAATTAAAAATTTTAAACTTGAAAATTTTTATTATCTATAGAGTTTTAGCAAATAGAATACAAATAGTTGAAACCATAAAAGCTGAAACGACTTTAATTAAACTTAAATTTTATTTTCCAAATTTATTTAGAAATTAATTTAAAATAACAGATGGGAAAAAACACAAACCTGAAAAATGTGTGATGTTCAACAGCAGTTCTCCAAAGTCGTTTGGCCATCTGATGGTTTGGCAGTTTGAAGCCAATGGTATTGTCAATCTGTTCGAACTACGGAATTGCGAAGTTTGAAACTATTTATAATTGTTTTATAAATTAATTAATGAAAGTTACACAAAATCTGATATTCAAATCGCAATTAATTGTATTTTCAGATTTCGAATAATAAAAGGCTTATAAAATATAAGCCTTTTATTATTTGATTAATTGAATAATTAAACTTTAAATCTATCTAGGCCCAACATTTAACCAGCAAACACACCTCTCCAGGTCTCAGCTTTATATAAAAGTTATTTCTTTTATAAGAAATTTTCTGGATCTTCCCCCAGGCAAATCTGTTGATCCTCAGTCGATCCCTGTAGACTACCAGACCACTGGCGCACACCCCCAACAAGATTTCCACTCCCTCTGAATCCTTGGCCTGGTGAAGGTCCATGCCGTACATGGCTAGTTTCTTTGCGTTCTCCAGGTACCTCAGCTCCGAGTCAGCTGGTGTCTGTCCTCTGGTTTTCGGTGGTTCAATTTTTTGGTAAATTAAAAAAAAATAAATCTGTTAAAATTTAGATGCAACGAAAATAAGACAAAATAACTTATTAAGTTTAACTGAATTAAACTATACGCTAAAATGTAGATATAGCTATAAATAGAGTGAATAAAAAATTAACTTAATTTGGTAAGAGAATATTTTAATCAAAAGGCTCACTTATGCGTGCGATGGAGTTCAGCTATTTTCTCAAGTAGTTCATCGTTTTGGTTGGGGGCGAACCTGATGTCCTTGATGTAATCAATGCCCCTGCCGTGTTCCTCTGGGGTGTAGTCTCCGAGTTCTGATTGGACCGTGTAGGAGCCGAGTAGGGCATGGGTGACGAATGAGCATGGAAGTCTAGGGTGATGAAGAAAATGATGAAGGTGATGACAGTGATGATGTTTTACGAAAGTGATGATGATTGACGATGACGATGTCTGATGATGACACTTATGATGTTTTTTGATGATATTTTATGATGATGAAGATGATGGCAATGATGAGGCTCGATGATGATGAAGATGATGACAATGATAAGGTTTGAAGATAGTGAAGATGGTGAAGATGATGACAATGATGTTTGAAGACGATTAAACATTTATGAGTTCTTAAGACTGGGAAGAATTATTTCAATAACGTTGAATATCATTGATGTCCAAAATGATAAAATCACGGGAATGATGAAGGGATTGTGATGATGACTATAATTGTGATACACTGATGATGAAAATGATGCTTTTAATTCTGACAATAAAAAATTGGTAACGGTCATAACAACCCAGAAAATTTATTACACACAGATGACCATAAAATCTGACAAAATACGAACTAAAATACGGAAAATTATTTTGATAACTACATAATGAGAGTACTATTGAAAAAAAGATTGGCCCGAACTAATTGATACAGCAACAGAGCATTCATAGGCAGCTTTACAATGTATCGGTCACAAAACTAAACGAATAATAATAATAATAATAATAATAATAATAATAATATTAATAATAATAATAATAATAATAATAATAATAATACAATAAAGTAATGATGATAAATGATAGTAAATGTATCGATTAGACTGAACTGTTGGGATGGTGTTGTTGATGATTACATTTATGAGAAAAATTTATTGGCCATTAAAATGATATTGGAAATTTGCAAAAAAAAAACAACTTGAATGCTAAAGCCAGGAATGACACTAATATCAACCTTGATGATGATGGTAGTTATAATAATGATGATGATGATGATGATGGCGACGAAGATGATGATGGCGACAACTCACTTTCCTGTCAATATGTCCCTTCTCAACTGCAGACACAACTGATATCTAGATGAAGTAAAATATATAACGATGTCATTTAGACATTTTAAAATGAATAAATTTTTGAAATCGAGAATGAGATATCTAAATTTGTAATTATCATCTAAATAGTTTTCATAATTCACAATAATTATTTTTAATTAATTTATTCAAACATCGACCTAGTTATATCTTCCTGCAATACGATTGGATCCGGTGGATAAAACTTGACCTCAAAAGCGCACATGCAAGGATCGCCTGTGTTAATTAGGAAGGAAGATGATAACGGTTTGATGATGATGATGTTGATTTTGGTTATGATGATGATGGGGAAGATGATTGTGGTAATGATGTCGTTGACGATGGCGTCATCATCAGTGACATCCAGTGATGACTACATTTTAAAATGATCGTTATAATTACAAAAAAAATATTGATATAAGAAACGTGATGATGGATTTATAAATAGTTCTATTAGTGTAAAGAAGTACACAGGCTAGTGCCAAGTAAAACATTGCGAAACACACACACACAAACACACAGTCAGACACACAGACACACACAGAGAGAAAAAAAGAGAGAGAAAGGGGGAGAGTGAGAGGGAGAGAGACAATTCATATTTTCATTTAATTATCTTTTTTTTTACATTCATCATGTTCATCATGTAAGCGTTTCAATGAAAATACGTTCTCCATAACAATTTGTTACACTGGCTTTTGATGAAGTTATATAATTTTGCCGAGTTTATTTAGAAATAAGTTTAGTTATTATTTGTTTTAAAACTATCTGAAATAATTGAGTTAGAATTTAGTAAAATAAAATAATGAGTAATAGAGAAAATATGAAAATAGCTTTTGCCTCGTACAACCACAACTAAAATAGGTATGTCACACAAGGAATGAAATGAGATTTTTGAAGTTTTCACGTTAACGGGTTATTGTTTTTATCTTTTGTAAAAATAAAGTTTCACTAGTTTTCATTTGATTTTTAAAGTCAAAAATGTTTCTATTTTACTTATTATTAATCATATTATTGATTAAATTTTAAATATCTATAGAATAATGTTGGCGGATTTAATTACTGGCTGTGAATTTGTTTTGAAAAGTTGATAAGCAAATGTAAATTAAGAAAATCAGTCAAGTTACCGGGTGGTATCTAGGTTTGTATACAACCTTGAATTGAAACATTGAGTCGTGATGATAAAAATGTCATGGAACGAATTAAGAACTAGCAGATTGACCCAAATCCTATCATTAGTTAGTTAGCTAGCGAGGGGTTGATTGCACGTTTTGGTTGAATAAAGATTCCACAAATATCTTAATATGTGTTAAATTAAAATTAAACTAAATTAAATTAAATTAACGAAAATCTTAAACCCTCGTTTCATGATTTTTAATTGTATCAAATTTTTATACTTGTGTTTTTGTGACAGAGTTTCAGTTGCGTTTGATGCTTATAATTTTATGATTAAATCACAAAATTGAAAAATTCAACCAAAGTTACAAAATAATTTGGCAAATTTTTGAGAAATTAATTTTTTAATAAACATTAAAAAATAATCATCCTTACTTTTCAGTTGTTTGTTAATTCGTTTCGTTTTGCTGATCCAAAACTAGATTGTTATAAAAAAATTAAGTGATACATTCGCGCGCGCGCGCACACACACACACACACACACAAACCCACCCACCCACACACACACACCTTTCAAGTAATCCACCAACGCAAAGAAATGTTAAACAAAAATGACACAAATATTTAAATATCTTAAAAAATACAACGTAAATTACACTATATATACAGAAATACCCGATACAAAATTTCAAAATACCCACTTTGACATCGTTGCCATCCCTGTACGATAACGAAAAGTAATCCCTTTCGACCAAATTCAAATGTTCGAAAACTTTGTCCATCAACTCCTGGCCGAGCGTTTTTTTCTTGAAAAGTTTTCAAGATAAAATAAAAATATATAATTTATTATAATATTAATAAATATAAGTAATAAGAATAGTAATATAATTAATAAAATCAATAACAAAAACCTCAATTGGCACTTCTAGCTCCGTCCCATCTAGTAGAAGTACTTTGCAGGTCGTCATTCTTCGCTTAGATAGTTGCACCCAATGTACTCTTGAATTATTTTGATCTGCTGGAGAACATTTTTCTTCAATGTATTTCTCTGTTAACTTTATTATCGCCATACTGTCATTTTCACTAATACGTATCGTATGCCTTTACATTATAATGGCGTGTTTGTCATTATAAATGATATTATTATTAGCCACATTTTTTAAAGTTTGTTGATATCTGTGGTATCATTATTTATGGATATCATTAATTATAGATAATCTTAGTCATAGATATCATTAATTATAGATACCATTAGTCATAGATATCATTAATTATAGATGACATTAATTATAGATATCATTAATTATAGATATCATTAGTCATATATATTATATATTATAGATACCATTAGTCATAACTATCATTAATTATAGATACCATTGGCCATAGATATCATTAACCATAGATATCATTAATTATGAATATCGCCTTTGTTACCTACCATGTCATGACATTTGATTATTTTCATTATCTTCTCATCGTTGCCATGTCTCCATTTATTTCCGTTTAAAAGGTTATAGGTTAAAACGTTAAAGGTCACACTTTCTGACTGCACTGGCTTTAGAGCTATCAACAAACACTCACACAGACAGTCAAACAGACAGACACACACACACAGACAGACACAATGAGCAAAAGCCACGTATCACACACACACACACACATTACAGGACTGAACAAACGTTTTAAACTCTCAAAGTCTTGAGCCATCTACTAGTCTTGTAGAGTATTGTATATTTTTAAAAGCAACAAAACGCTTAATTTTGTTATAAAATGTTTATTGTTTTTACATCATTGTTTTAATCTCTGAAACTGTATCATCACTATTTCTCTCATACTGATAATTTATTTTAATTGAGAATGTTTTTTTTTGCATATTTTGTTCTTTATTTTGAAATTCTTAGTAATCAAAGTGTATAGTTTTGTTTTCTGTCAATGGTATGATTATTATAGTTATAATAATAATAATAATAATAATAATTATTATTATTATTATTATTGTTGTTGTTGTTGTTATTTGTTTTTCCCAAAACGTAATGCTTTATTTCCTGCTCTAAATCACCCCTATCATGTGGCCTATTAGTGTTTTTTAATATAATTTGTATGTTTTTTTTTGTTTGTCTTTGTATCATCTTGTATATTTTCGGTTTGGTGTATACACGTTTGTCGTATTACAAAGTTTGAATTGAATTATTGTATCTTTTTGTATATTTTTAGCCTTTGTATCATTTTGTATATTATCTTTTTGGTGTATAGACGTTTCTTGTATTACAATGTTTGGATTGAATTATTGTATCTTTTTGTATATTTTTAGCCTTTGTATCCTTTTGCATATTTTCAGTTTGGTGCATACACGTCTGTTGTATTACAATGTTTGGGTTGAATTATTACCACATAGATGAGTACTATGATCATATTGAAAACAGTTTGACGAGGTCGAATTAGTGACAGAAAATAGGTAAAGGAGATATCTCTAATATGATAATAATCAAAATAAAAAAACGCTAAGAGCAGTGCCATCTTTAATAATAATAATAACAATGATAATAATAAAAATTTTGATGAAAATGAAGTATACTAGGTTGGCGATAGGATATCAACAAAACTTATCACATAAATAACATTATAATGATAGTGACTAAGCTGATGATAATAAGAATGATAATAATTTTGGTTATTCTACATAAGAATTATTAATAGGCGTAACGATGGCGTAATGATTAAGGTGTCTGGCAAAGCTGACAAAGTGTCCTTGTTCGAATTCAAGAGATTCCAACTATCACATGCAAAAGTGTGTGATGCAGTGTCTCTCATGTATTTGCATGCCTCAGACGTTTGCCATGTATTATTATTATTAATATTATTATTTTTATTAATGATGAAAAATCTATTGAATGATACAACGAAAATATATAGGTTTAAACATTTCAGACGTACCTTTAACTAATCTTCAAGAAATAAGATTTACAGAATTTCGATTTTATAAGCGCAAAATGATTAAGTAGTTTTTAATTATTTTGTCTATAATTTTGATTTTAAACCAATAACAATATTAAGCAGTCAACGATTTAAGACATTAATTTATCTTCACGAAGTGCTTTAGCAATCAAAAATTTAACAATAGTTTTGCAAAAAAAAAATTTATGCCAGCACATCAAAAAAGAAAGAAATGATAGATTCAATTTTTACACAAAACTAACTCGATCAATATAATTGATAAACTAATGTTAATTTCGTGACGAATTTAGACTGATAATTTAAAGGGACAACAACGAGGCAGATTAGGAATTATCAACTAATTCGAAACAACTACAGTTTCCTCAATCCAATCCTAATCATCATCTCCTTACAATTCCAGCCAGCCAGACTCAACGCACACACTCGTGTACAATACATTCAGTGGCATGATGCTTGCATATGTATGTCGATGTATGACATACATACATCTATTTTGGCGTACATTCATCCATTTATACCTACCTACACACTCACGCACACACACAAGCACACACACATACATACACACATACACACACTTGCATGTTTGTGTTTGTTCCATACAAATTGTGCGACCAATGCGTGCTTATGCGTTTTCAATATTCTTTTTATACTGGTATGTTTAGCATAAACAAAAGATCCAACATGCATAATTGAGTATGTGTTTGTCTGTTTATACACGGGCGAATGTTGGGCGAATGTTGGGCGAATAGCATATCTTTCTGTTTTACAAATTTCGATGTATAAAAATTAGACCGATTAACTGTTTTTTTTTACATGGAAATAAAACTGGAAATGGATAACAATCTACATGAACAAACACTTGAAAAATTCACATATGTCTAAACAACATATTGTGCATAGCCATATTGACATGGTCGACATGGACAACTCCACTCCAACCACACCGAACACAAACACACTCGTTCCATAGCTGAACAGTCACATGAAAACAAAACCACGCACACAGGTATCACAAACAGAAACAAATGACAAACTACACATCGAAATAAATTATATACAAAAAACAAGCAAACAAACACACAGAGACAGAAACACACACATATGACACATTCATCTCCAAAAATGTGCACACAAATGTGCATTCCCAACAGGCAAGAACACATTATTGATTTCAACCAGGCCTCTACTCCCAACCTTGTATGTACGTTGATCTAGCTTACTTGGTCGACGAACGTGTTGTACGAGTATGTGGCTATGTAAGTTTGCACGTGTGTTCTTGTATGTATGTATGTGTACGTTTTGAAGGATGTACGTGTGTGTATATGCTTGAAAAGATGTACGTGTGTGTGTATATATTTATGTGTGTACGTGCGTATTGTATTTTACTTTTTGCATTTTTTGTATGTTACCTGTATATTATTATGTTTGAGGACATTTGTATTGTATTGTACAACTACTTAGCGAGTGTGTTCATATCCGTTGGGATTGAATAAAAGTATGTATGCAGATGTGTGTGTAGTTGTGTATCTGTGAGTGTGTGTGCGTGTGTGTGTGCGTTATAATGTAACAGATCATTACATTGATACAGCTCTTTAGAAATCTACTTTAATGGCAGAATGCGGTTGCATGAAAATGATTGAAAGGCAAATTGATGCGAGCCAACATCATCGTTATTATTACTTCTTCAAGAGAAAATTGCTCTATTCCTCTTATTCCAAATATGGAAAAAACATACAAATATGTTACCATTGTTGCCAGTTTATTTTTCCATTATTGAATATTTCTGGTTACATCTTTAGGTTAAACGGGAAGAACGGTGACTCATCTATCTTGTTTATATGATATTGTTATAACCGCAAGAATGATCGAATCGCGCTATATTATTTGTTATCTTACTTATTGTTATCTTTGGATTGTAAAGGATTGTAAAAAAAGCGGAGAGATAGGTTTTCAGCATGGTTTACAACGAAGGTTTGATACGAAGTTTCTATTGTGATAAATGTAGTTACTTTGATTGTTTAGTAAGGGATAGGCAAACTTTTTGCTGTGAGGGCCGCATTGAGAACTATTTTTATCTTTAAAAAGGACGGCATATGTACTTAAGTAGCAAATTTTTTCGACCCGGGAAAAATTCTTGCAAAGCTAATTTATGTGCGGCTCTTGAGGGGCCGCACATAAATTAGCTTTGCAAGCCGCATGCGGCCCGCGCGCCTTAGTATGCCCATTCATGAGTTTAGTGTTTCTATTGCTTTTGGTATTCAAATAAACGTTCAACAAAGTTTGTGTTTGAAGCATCTGTGTTTATCTATCTGAAATCTTGAACCTACGGAATAACGAACACTGGTGTTGGAAATATAGAGATCTTTAAAGTTATAACATTCTTGTTGTTAGTTATGAACGTCAAAAGGGTTACAACAATATGATGAATCGTTTAGTTAGGTTTTTAGGAAATATTTGAAATAAATTTTAAAATAAGAAAAATTTCACAATTGGAGTAAAACAGAAGTCTGAATAGACAAGTTGTGAATTTAACTGGATAAAAAATAACATGAATTAGTTAGCTAATTAAATATGTATTAAATATGTAGTTAAATAATAAAACTTTTAATTGATTGAATTATTTAATTAAAACAGATAATAATTTCGAATCATTACCATCAGATGCACTTTCTATTGGAAAATTTTTAACATTTCAAATGTAAGTTTTAAGTTTGAAAAAAATTCGTTTTTAAAAATAATTTTGAACGTTAAAAGAATTGATCATTGATAGGATAAAATTAATCAAATCGTCAGAAAATAAAATCCTCACTTCTTGGTTTTTCTGGAATGATTAAAATAACTATTTTGGATATTTAGAATTATGAATTTCAGTACTGAAAATTGTTGATTTTTTTTTTGAAATACTTAAATAAAACAATCGTAAAAATGACAATATAATTAATTTACTTAATTCATGGAAATAATCATCTTCCACAATTTTCCCTTGAGCAGATTTTTTGTACATGCAGATGATGGCTTCCTTACTAGCTTCCTGGTCCCAGGCGTCAGACACGTACCAGCCTGCCTCTTCTGGACCAGATTGGAAGTAAGCGTAATGGGAAGGTTTCGAGAATGCTGTATATTCTGAAAAGGCACTCCACACCATACCGTAGCCTAAGAGTTTAAAATAAATTTTATATTATTTTTCAATCAATCAATCAATCTTCGTTTTGCGTCCAGAGACCCGGTTTCCCGAGGTAGGACGTTGTTCTCTTTGCCATCAACATTTTGCGCCAAATTAGACGATCAGTTGTATCCATTTCATAAAATTTGTTATATTTTATTTTTTCTTAAGAAAAAATATTTGAAACATTTTAATTCAGAAACCTTTACTTCTCCATTTCCAAACGTTTTTCGTAGTTCCAACCCAGAAAGACTTGAAATCGTCAAGGGCAAATATTTCTGGAGTGCTTATGGTACTAACTGGATACTCATCATTAAACACTATCATGTTTCCTTTATTCTCTGCGCACATACTTTGTCCTTCGTACCATGATAAAACAGCTTTGTAGATAACCATACAATGGTATTCGAAGTTTTTCCTGTAGTAAATTTTTGTCTGATCAACGTTCTCATGCGGCATGTAGTTATCTCCAACCCTCTGTACTACGTTATTCCAATCTGACTGGCTTACGCTTATTTTTGCCAACTCATCGACGTACACATCAAATGGGTTATTGTTTGAAAATTTTTTCTCTTTTAATAGATTTTTTATTGCATGAACTGATGAGTGTTTCACGTTTAAACTTACCATCTTTTTCGCAATTGCGTGTTCAAATTTTACATCAGAATCTCCGTAAAATTTTTCAATCATTTGACTTGCGTTCAAATGTAATTGTTTTATATTTTTGTCAAATTTTGTTAATGCTAATTTCACGTCCTCCAATTGGTTGTTAGTCAACAGCAGGCCTAACTCTTTCGCCTTGTTTCTATCAAGTATGTCCAATTCACCATTTAATGCTGTGTAAACCTGGCCAACTTTTTTAAAGTTCAAATTTCTAATTCTTTGCGTCGTTTCATTTTTTTTTATTAAATCCTTCCAATTTATTATTCGACTGTTTTTAATATTCCCGACCAGGGCATTTTTATTCAATTTTTCCTCTCTTATAGCAGCGCTTATTTTACCAAAAGCCACCAAATATTTAAAATGTTTTTTTTGTGGTACGTTAGCCTTCTCCAGCATGACTGAGGAGTAATCAAAAAAATTTTCTTTGCTAAAGACGACGAGATCTCCAACGATTTGCATATCTATTCCTTTGAACAATTCTTTACGCTCTCTACCGAAATATTCGGCCCAGTTAAATCTGAGAATTGGAGTAAGAAAATCGTGTACCATCATGCAGACATTAAAAATAAATGCTCTGGATTGTTGTCCAGGCATATATGCTTGAAAGATTATATGGCCAGATGTGTAAGCCAATGAAAAAGGCTTTGGTATGCCGATTTCAGCTGCTTCGTCGAGTGTATAATTATATGGGTCAATTAAAAAATCAATCACTCTGCATAACTTGCTGATATCATGCGATTTAATCTTCTCTAGAAACCAATCCTTGGCTTTGTTGGCAATTTCAGCAAAACCGATTGGTTTGTAATGTATTGTTCCATTACAATCTTCCGTTTTCCAAAAATTTGAATTGATATATTGTATAATTTGTTTGTATTTTTGATAAGTTTTAAAATCAAAATCTGATTCTTTGAAGTTTTTAAACGTCAATCCAAATAAATTATTTTTATGTATTTTGTACACTCTTAATAATTTTCTCTTAAAGTCTGATTTGAGTTTTGAAATGTTAGGCGGAAAGTCAGCGCCCATCATTGATACAACTATTTCCCACACCTTCTCCTCTGGTAAAACTTTATTTGCTTTGATATAGTTGAAATAGTTGTCATAATCATGGTCCTCTTTTCTCTTATTTTTAGCAGCACCCTCAACTTTAGCACCAGCGGAAAGAACTAACTTTTTTTTGCTACTGTAAACTGGCCTTTTGCATTCGGAACTTTCAATTGGGAGCATACAGACGATGGAGTGATCTTGTTCGTGATCCGCTGTTTTAAATTCCCATTGTCGCTTTCCTGAATAATACGTAGCATAAACGTAATTGTAAGATGTTTCGGAAATCGTTAAGCCGCTTTCTCTCGGAACATTGGCTGAAGGTTAAAATAAAAAAATTTTTGTAAAGAAAAATAATGATTACTGATTATTTGCTATCTCATAATTACCTGGAACCTCCTTGTATACGATGTTCTGAAAATTTTCTTTCGTTTCGAAGTAAGCATTCAACGGGTAAACCGTTTTGCTGACATGTGAAGCATTGCTAATCACCGATTTAAGGCTGTCGTACAACTTTTTGCTACGAGCTTCTAGCAGGTAGCTGAAGTTGTTCCTTGACTTGCAGACGTCGTCTGCTTCTTTAACCGATTCCACGGGTTTTTCAATTTTTACCACCGAGAAACAGTATTTGGTTTCGTCGCAAATTTCACATATTGCTTGCTTTACCTTACCTGAAAATATTTTTTTTAGTGAAACGCTGCAAGATGAACTTAAATTTCAGTCAATTTCACTTGTGAAGATTAATAGGATGGAGAAGATGATAAAGTTCAACATTTTATAGTTTATATGAAGAAATTCCAAAGTTTTTTGACTAGCGTAAACATTTACGCCATTTTGGTTAGTATTTTCGATTTTTTAAACGTTCCATATTTTTGTAAACAATTTCTGAAAATGACGTTTGATGAAAAAAACTATAATAAAATTAAAATTTTATAATTCAAATTTCTGCTCCACTTAATAATTTCACATAAAATCCTCTCTGTAATTTAATGGAACGATGTAAAACAATTTTACGTTAAATTTTTGTAAGGTTTATTCGGATTTATTCGCAGGTTTTTCAATTTAATTTAATTGAACCGCACCCATTTTGATTTGTTTGATCATATATGACATGGAATAATAAAAAAAAGGTTATTTAACCCTCAAACACACACCCTTTCTACAATCACATTTCACACTCCTGTCTACATGTGTAGACTGCTTGTTTTTTCATTATTTCTTTTATTTTATTATTTATATTTTTCGTATTTTTCAATATTTTGTATATCAATTTGCAATTTGTAATACTTTTATTCACTGTTAATACTTAGCAAAATATAAAAATATTTTTATTACAAATAAAAGACAATAAAAAACAGTATATTGTTTAAAAATGTTCATGATGGTTTTTTATACTTGACATGACAAACACACCAAAGATTTTTTTGAATGAATACTACAAACGTATTTAAAACATTTTTCACATTTATTTCTTGTAGATTTTCTACATTTTCTTTCTTGACACTTCTTTGGATGACTTGTTACATTTGATGCATTTTTCACCGCTTGATTTTGAATTGGAAAACCATATTGCAATAAACTTTCTCTTATTTGAAATGCCACTGATTGGTTCGTTGACATATGTTTTCATATGCAAGTTTGTGTGCTAATGTCTTTATATATTGTTTCCTGAATTTGTTTATCTTATCTTGCTGTTTTCCAATAATAAATGAGTTGTAAATCGCTATGTCTAAAATATTATAGAAATATACCATTGGATATCTATTAGTTTTTCTTTTTGTTGAAAAATCCTCAATACAGCTATCTAGATACAGATACAGATCGACACCACCTTTACCGCTGTTATAATCTAAAATAACCAAAGATTTTTTATCTTCTCGTTCAAGTGATGGTGATGCGGATGTATGCATGGAAGACATCATCAAAACGTTTTTACCTTTTTTTGGGACATATGACAATAATAACACTTTCTGACTGTGTTCCCATAATTCTTTAGTAGAAAATAATTCTCTTGATTTTACATTTTTAAAACACTTGGGTACGTCCCGTCTACTAGGCATAATTGTACCAGTCATAGTTAATCCCATGTCAAGGAGCTTCACACATAATGAATAACCAGTAAAATAGCGATCAATAAATATATTTCTGCCGCTTACTTTATAGCATTCCACCAACTTTAAAACCATATCTTCAGCAAGACCTACTTGTCGATCATCTCCTTTTTTGCCAGCATAAATTTCTCCTTTCATGGCAAAACCATTTGTAGCATCACAAACCCAAAATATTTTAATTCCATACTTAGCTGGTTTATTTGGCATGTAACTACGACCAGGTGCATATCCTCTAAAACCATAAAGTTGTTCATCAACCGTTAGCCATTCAGATGTACATAATGCTTTCTAAGGTTGTTTTGGAACATTTCCCAAATATCTCTTACTGCTGCCATGTTATCGCTTTTTTGCCTTTCTTTTCTCGTATTTCGGTTATCTAGTGACAGATAACGAACCAATAAATTGAATCTATTTTGAGCCATTGCAATTCTGTAAAATGGCCTTGAATCTTTGGGACACCATAGGAAACGAACAGATGATAAATTATCTTTATCTGCACCTGCTCTTATCATAATACCGATACCAGCTTTCAATTCCTCAAAAGAAAATTTTTTCTTCCCAATGGCTTTCATTCTTCTGTTTGTGTTTAATAAAATCACACGCAATATATTTTCATCTAAAAAACAATGAAATAATTCCAATTCATCATTAAAAGTTGTTGTTGGACCTGGAGAAAATTTAACTATATTTCTTGCTAGTCTTCTCGAAACTGGCTTTGAAGATGTCCACTCTATACCATTGGGCGACTTCACTGTTTCAAACTTGATGGACCCATCTTCATTTTCATCGCTTTCTTCTATTTCATCACTGCTACTAGGCAATAGATCATCATATGTAGTAAGTTTCATATCAATATCAATGTCACTGTCGCTATTGAAATTATCTTCAACTTGTGTGTCTGATGACTGATCCGATGAAGAATCACTAACATTAGGATCTTCAACATTATCTACTTCATCCTCACGATCAGATACATTAATAAAAGTAATAGCTTCTTTTAAACTATATTTTTTAGACATTTTAATTTCTGAATTTGTAATAGCAGTATTCAAGTACAGAATTTTAAAAATCTGAACACAAAATGTTTACGAGTGATAATAAAAAATAGATTGATTCACTGCTTGGCAAGTACTATTCGGCAGAAACATACATAAGGCAGAAATCTGACAGAAATGTAATTATGTATGTATAAATATATGAATAAGTTATTATTACAAAACGGTGAATGAAACAGCAGATCATCTTCTTTATAGGGGTATTAAAGGTCACTCGATCACCTTGACCCCCGTTATGTCTACAAATGTAGAGAGGTAAGTGAAATAAGATGATTTACATCTAGTAGCGCCACCTATAAAAATTTTTTGTTGAAGTTTTAAAAATCGTTTGATCAAACTAAAATTTTCTTGGAAATAAAATTTCAGCCCAATGAAATAAGAAATAAGTTGTTGAAGATTGAAAATGCAATGTCTACATTTGTAGACAGGAATGTGTTTGAGGGTTAAATTATGTTAAATTCTTGTGGTTTTCCGTAGTGATGGACACGTATATATATTTTATGAAGTCTATAAAAATTAACAGCGAAAAAGTTTTTCATTTTCATAAGTGCACGGAATGATACGTGAACAAATTAAAATATTGAAAAAAATATTTCATAAAACATTGATTAAATTATATTCTCACTGAATAATAATAAAATGAAAAATAATTATTGAATTAAGTTTTTGCAAGATTAAAAATTTTAATTTTTATACTAATTTAAAATATCTCTTATTATTATTTGTTATTTACTTTAATAGGTTGCTCTATTGTTCGGGAAACAGTTTCTGATCTGTACGAGACCTAGGACAAAGAATGGGTAATAATATTACTCATTAAATTTCCTAAGTTTAACGGATAACGTTATTAAATTTGCGCCAGTCGTTGGCGAACTATTTGTAATGAATAATGTATAAACTAAAATCTAGATCATGTTTAGAATATTTAGTATATTTTATATAGAATCATTTTGAATATTCTAAAAAAAATAATATAACGATGGGATGGTTTAATGGTTAAAGGCCCATGATTTTATTTCGCACTAACAGAGTTGGGTTGCACGGAATACATGCAATGTTTGGGATTTACACATTCTTGTGGGTACAAAACATCCGATGCGTATGTTTGTTTGTGTTTGTGTGTGTGTGCGTGTGTATGTGTGTGTCTGGCGTGCATGTGTGTGTGTGTAATAATTTGGAATTAAATAAAATGAATAATTATGGAGAATAGAAATAAAAAAATGTATATATATATATATATATATATATATATATATATATATATATATATATATATATATATATATATATATATATATATATATATATATATATATATACAGACTTCGTTTTGTTTGTTTGTAATGAGCCAATAAGAGCAGCCGACGATACCAACTATGAGTACGAGAGATAACCAAATGTAGAGGACTGGTGATGATGATGATAGTAGATGTGATGGTGATGATGATGATAGTAGATGTGATGATGATGATAACGACGGTGATGATAATGATGATAGTAGTAGATATGATGATGCCGGTAATAATATTGATAAGGGCGATTGCTGTATTTATGATGATGAGTACGATGATGATAATGATGACGATAATAAATGGTTTCTCACTCACATTTTGGTCTAAAGGCTTGGCTTGGAGGTGCCATCATAATAGGAGGTAGAACTGAAAAATGTTGAAAAATACAGACAATTTTTCGGCTAAAATTAAAAAAGATTTTAGATAAAAAATTTTAAAATAATTTGAAAATTGTGAAAATTAATGAAATTGTATCTAGAAGCTCTTATATCGACGAATGAAAATTACCAATGTTTTCAAATAAAGTAATTTAAATTTGTTACCCAAACACACACCACACAAACACATACTACAGTTACGCATAGCTGTATAATAAATTATTATATACACTATTCAAAATTAACTATTTTATGAACCAGAAACTCCTTTCAAGCAATTTTTCACAGTTTTATTTGTCCTGTCAATCAAATAAATCTGCACATTTTCATCTTTTAATTGGGTCAAGCCGAGAACTTGACCTAGATATAGATGGCAGCCATTATGTAGGACGGAACTTGCACTGACCCAGATTATGCCAAAACATTCCCTCTCGTGCTCGCACAGTTGCTTGCACACATTCGTTAACATGACACGCGGTTCGTGCTGTGTTAAGTTAGCAAGGTAACTGGTGTTGCTGGTTAACTTCCATGCGGATTTACATTCTGGATGGGTGATTTGACAGTAGTTATTTCTCCACAAAAAATTCAACATCATCCTCATTTTAATCATCGTCTTTGACAAAATATCATTACCTCGTCGTTATTAACAACAGCCAAACATCATTTTTATCATTCTCGTCATCAGTAGCACCATTAACAATAACGAAATCACCCCTATCATCATCGTCGTCATCATGACAACCTTTCATGCAGACTGGCATATAGACGTCATCAGACGTCTGGTCGTCGTAGATGTATATGGAGTTGTTGTGGTAGAAGAAAACTGGTTTCGCCTGTTCGGCTGTTCTGTTGTCTCGTCTCGGAATTCTCATCACGTCTAGACATCATGTTGTTGATGATGGTGCAGACGATAATGACGGTGGTGACGATGAGGAAGAAGAGGAGAGTCTATTTATCAATTTAAAAAAAAACTTTACAAACCGATGATTTCCTCCCTGCTACTTTTCCACATCCATTTGCCCATCTTATACTTGCCGTACAAAATTATCCTGGAACATTCCGTATGACTCTTTGTGATATTCATCAATTCTCTCAAACTTTCAACAGTGTCAGGACTCAAAAGTTCAAGTGGAGTTGACCCAATAAGAGCTTTTTCGCAGAAAAGTTTTGTCTCTATGAGGTTATTAACTTTGACACTTGCACCGTACGTGAAAAGGCAAAACTGTTTTTACGGTTATTTATTGTTTTATCTGTTTCATAAACTAAATTGAATAATATAATGAATGGAGTGAGACTTAAATACAATAAAAAGGATGATAAAGGTATGAATAAAGGTGATGATATATGTGGCATACAGCTACCACGTGATAAAGATATAAAGTTGATGACAAACGCCAGGCCTACCGTATCGTGAGCGTGACACCATGCTGAGAGCCTAACAGTTGAATCAGCATTACATACGGCAAAAAAACCGAAATAAACACACACAAAATTTTTCTCTGAAAACTTTCTATAAAGAGAAGACATTTCAATGAATAAATTTCAAATTATCGTATTTTTAATGAGAAGGCAGTGAAACTGTCAAACGTTTCCTGAAAATTTTTGTTTAAATGTTTGTTTACAAAGAATATAAAAATGTCTTTATTTAATTTTCTATGTTTGTTATAAAAAACATATGTATATATATATATATGTATATATATATATATATATATAGATTCAACACTTTGTTAGCATGCCTTTATAGGTTTATTTAAACGTGCAAATATATACCTATATATATTTTTAGCTTTTGTGTATGATTGTCTTGGCTTATGTATGTGTGGTTAGATGAAAATTTTTTGGTACAGCAAGAACTAATAAACTTCAAATGTAAAATAACATATATAGTTGAAAGAATTCTAAAATTGTGAACATAAGAACAGACATCACCATCCTCCTCATCATCCTCTTCATTATCTTCTTTTCCCTGTCTTTATATCAACTATGGTCAACTGTTTGTTCATATTTTTCTACGGGGTTTAAATAAATGAATTAATTAACTTTAAAGTATTGGAATAAAGAATTAAAACTATTTAATTAACTAATTAATACAATTAGAAAGAATAATAATAGCCCCCCAAAAAAACATAGATGTACACCAACAATACTAACTACGCCAGGAACCACGCGAACCACTCCAACAACAGCCCAAACAACAAAATAAACAAATAATAAGAAGGTGAACAAAGGCAACATTTACATAAGCATTAGCAATAAAAAAACAAATTCATGAACATAAAAAAAACAAACAAATACATAAACATAGACAATACAACAAACAAAGACAATAAAACAAACAGATATATCAACATAGACAATAAGAAAAAACAGTAGACCAACTGCTTTTTTGATTTTTACACCTTGGACGACAACTATACCAAACAGGAAAACTGTCAGTACGGCAGCCGTTCCCCACACTGATGATGATGATGATCACGTGATAATGATGACGATCACGTGATAATGATGATGATGATCACGTGATACTTGATCGTGATGATGACGATGATGAGGAAGATGTTAATATGGAAAAGGATGATAGCGAATGTTCAAGCGTTTTCAAAATTACATCAGCATCATCGCCATCATCACACTCACTTCCCCATTTCGTTAGATGTTTCTTTATAAACAATTTACTCACAGCTGTTATATAAGGCAAAAAATGTTAAAATTTAATGATATAAAAAGAATCGAATGAATTGAGTCAATGAATAAATGGATAAATGGAGGAACAAATGAATGAATGAATGAACGGAGGAAGAAAATAAACAATTATCGATTTATTAAATGAAAGATTGGAAAATCGTACAGAAATAGAAAGACAAATGAGTTGATGTTTCACACATGCGTGAATCATCTGACATTTGTTTCAACAAACACACACAAACGCACACGCGCACACACACGCGTATACACATCGTATACATAACTAACCCATACTGCATACATATAATGAAATGTAAACAGTCATTATTGACAAAATGGGATTTTTTCAGAAATGCTAAATATTCATTTGTATGAACATTAGCGGGAATATCTACAGAAAAAATCGTACAGAAACCCACCAAACCAAATCATCCAGAGCAGACACCAAGTAATGCAAATAAATGAATGCTTCAGCTTTGTACACATTCACTCATTTCTACATCGGCAAGCAGAGCGCTTACAACAACAAACATAAATATGGACATCATGGAATATCGGGAATCTGAAAGACACACGCTACACATACAAACACGTACAAAGACACGCACAGAAGCAAACACTCACAAACATGTAAGCACACACACACAGACACATAAATACTCACACAAACATATATTATATATATATACAGACACACAAATACACACACAGACACACAAACACAAAACCGGTTTGTTCTTCAGAGCAGACATCGAAATTTTTTGCTGTCCTGTTTATGATGAAAAGTGATATGCCCTGGCTAGGCTCCTTCTTCAGTTTTTTCAGGTTGGTGTCAAACAGACTACTGCATCCACCTCCTGCTGACCAACTGTGAAGTTTATTTCTTTTTTTATAAATTATTTATAACTATTATATATCTAATTTATTTATTCAAATCCTTATTCATAATAATCAAGTAAAGACAAATAAAAGTAATTTTTTAACTCACTGTTTTAATACTTTATTTTGCTAATTTGGCTAGTTTAAATTGCAAAAATGTACGCTATATGAATATACATGACTGGTTGGTTGATTGGTTAATCGATCGATTGGCTGATTGATTGGTTGATCGATTGGTTGATTATTCAACTGACCGAATTCCAGTGCAATCATGCTGCGCCTCACATTTCTGCTTGCAGTCATGTATGGAATGGGATTGGATGTAGAAGGTCGAAACAGTTTTCACGAGTTTCGTATCTTTGTAAGCTTCCCAATGTGCCATACAACCTTTTAACATTTTTTTCATTTCCAAAATTACCAATTTGAAAATTTTCAATAGTATCAACGGTTTACGGAAAATTCATCGTGGAAAATTCATCGTGGGAAAATTTATCGTGGAAAATTCATCGCGGGAAAATTCATCGTGGGGTAAAATTCATCGTTGGGTAAAATTCATCGTGGAAAATTCATCGTGGAAAAATTCATCGTGGGGTAAAATTCATCGTGGAAAAATTCATCGTGGTGGGGTAAAATTCACCATGGAGTGAAATTCATCGTATATATCGTATATAACATATAACGTATATAATATATACGTATAATATACAAATTATACTGTATTGGAGGTTATATCAATAGGCAACGTATAGCATCCATGCTTATTAATACTATTATTTGTATACCCTTAGTATGGTATATAAAATAGAAAATATATACAAAGGTGGACCGCGGACGTCGGACGTGTCTGAGTAAGTTAAGTAAAAGTCTATAATAAAATACTGTATGTGAAGTGTGTCAGAAATGAGGAAGTAGTTTTTGCATCACGATTCGCTAATCTTTGTGTAAAAATGTCACTAGAATTCGTGTACAGTGAAAAAGGAAAAAGAAAATTAATTGACTCAGGTCACTTGTTCGTAAAAGATGCGGCTACAGAAGAAAAAACTTTCTGGAAATGTGATCAATATCAAAATCTTGTATGTCGGGCACGTTTGCATACTCGTCATGACAAAATTGTAAAGAGAGTCGGTGAACATAACCACGCAGGAAATGCTGCTCGGGTCGAAGTTGTTAAGGTTGTGAATCAAATGAAAAATGATGCTAGGGAAACGCAGGATGTTCCTCAACGAATTATCACCAATTCTTTTATTAGCCTTTCTCAGGCGGCTTCTGGCCTAATGCCAAATATTTCTATACTTAAAAAGACTATTCGAAATACCAGGCGTCTTGCTGATCGTGCACCACCGAATCCAAATTCTTTGGTGGACCTAGTCATCCCTAATGACTATCAAATTACACACCATGATGATCAATTTCTTATGTTTGATAGCAATGATGGTCTTAACCAGTGGAAGCTCAATCTGTTTTAGACTATTTTGAGGACACTTGGATTGGAAGACCTAATCGGCGTCAACAACGCAGACCTCCACGTTTTGCATACGACCTGTGAAACTGCTACAATGCTGCTCTCAATGGCTTGCCAAAAACCAACAATTTCTGCGAAGGGTGGCACAGAGCCTTTAGTGAGCTAATTGGAGCTAGCCATCCAACAGTATGGAAATTCATTTCATCCTTGAAAGACGAACAAGCTTTAAATGAAGGAAAAATAGAACAGTATGTTGCTGGTGCCAATCCGCCTCCAAGCAAAAAGGTTTATCGAGACACGGCAGTTCGAATTAAACGTATAGTACAAGATTACGATAACCGTGATAGAATGGATTATCTTCGTGGATTGGCCCATAATTTTAACTTCAAGGCGCATCTCTCTTGACATACTTGCAAATTTTCATTGACATGGTTGAATTTCATTGACATTTTCATTGACATGATTTCATTGACATGGTTGCAAAATAAACACATTTTTGAGTTGAGTTGTTTTAAATTTCATTACAGAAAAGGTTAAGGATAGAAAAGTCCTCAAACTACGTATTTATAATCTACAACATTCATGGGGTGTGTAAGGTGTGTAATTGCAAAAACTGTTTTTCACAATAAATTTTACCCCACTATGAATTTTCCCCCTCGAAGAATTTTCCCCCACGATAAATTTTCCCACGATGAAATTTCCCCCACGATGAATTTTCCCACGATGAATTTTCCCACGATGAATTTTCCCACGTTGAATTTTCCCTCACGATGAATTTTCCCACGATGAATTTGCCACGATGAATTTTCCACGATGAATTTTCCGGACACCAGTATCAACAACCACAACAACAACAACAATACAACAAAACAACATATGTATTGATGTAAATAGTGTCACGTATACGTAATTATGTATACAACACTCATGAATCATTGCATCTCGCACGTTTAAACTAACGGACGAGAACTTTTTTTTTCATTAAAACAAAGTCACAGCAAAAGCATTGTCAAGCTACTTAACACTGAAATTAAATTTAAAAAAAAACTTAATAAAAAATAAATTTTATAGCGCCCAACTTTCGACGACGCAGAGCAAAACGTAGGTGTCGCCAGCGTCGTTTGATTCGTAAATCTTGCCACCACTCAGATACAAGAGTTTTTTCTTTACTGGTCTACAAGTGGACATGTTTAGCTGTATGACATCTGGTGATATGTTGAAGAATTTGGAATTGGTAGATTATTAATTCAACCGAGTTGATTTTTATGAAGTTTGTGTTCACTTCATCAAGTTTATCATTTATTTTGTTTATTAGTTCGTTTCGAGAGATTAAAACGAGATTGGATTAAACTCAGAGAAATGTGATTATGTTAATGCCATTCTGATCTTCTGCCAATAAAAAATTAGGCAGCTTTCAATGACTGTTTGATTGAAATTTTTATTTAAACATTAAAAAAGTTGCACAAAGTTAAGATTTAAGCATTTCTACAAACTATGATTAATTTTTCGTTTAACACTATTCCAAACTGTAACATTTTAACTTTTAAAAACTCTGAACTGAAAATATGGAAATTTAAAAAATAAGCACAGTATGGCGTCTGCATAGTTGCGCGTGGTACCTTCAACGTAGTTCGTCCCGTTAATCCACGCCCAGTCATCCCCATACTGCTTGGCGTTCAGAATGACTCTACGAAAAAGTTAATTTTATAGTGGTCGATGCCATCTTTTTGAAACATTTCTCAAGTATTATTCTTTCATTTTATCAAATCATTTTTTGATCAAAATTTTTAATATAAATATTGATGAATTAGTATTAAAAACAGTCGAAAATCAATAAATAGTTAATTTCAGTCAATCAACTCATAAAATTTTAAAATTTAAACTTTATTCAACTAATTAGCTCAATCTGAATAAAATTTACTCAAATTTTGTAACTAAATTTGGTTCAGTAAAACATAAAAAGCACAAACTTAAACTCCCGACGCCATTCAGTTTCTTCCATGAATCTAGCAATTCCATCTCTTCTCGCTTCGTTGTGCAGCTCTAGTGGAACGCTATAGAGAAAATTTCCAACGTGTGAAGATATATGATAGTTTATTTTATACAATGTCAGGGAATGTAATTATGGGATTTGAAATTCGAGCTTACCTGTACGGAAAATGACTATTGCATTTTTCCTGGGCTTCCTTCAATGTCGTGATGTTCGTATCCATTGCCAGCTCCCAGAACAAACAGTAGGACGACTCTCGGTCGCACCATCCTTTTAATCCGTATGCGGCCAGGCTGGGATTGAAACCGGATACAATTATTAATAATTGAAGTATCATTCTAGATGGTTTTTTGGCGTGTATATAAGAAATGTAACTGAGTGTGTTTGTTTTGTTAGTAGTTGAATGTATCAGTTTAAATTTAGCTACAGTTTTTGTATTTAGGAAAATTTTATTATGAGATTTTCAAAAATTACTACACGCATTTGTTGCCATTTGGAATTGGCCATATTTGGAGACTAAATTTTTATTTTATATCAGATAGGGTTTGTTATGTTTGCAGAAAAATTATTTTTAATTTTTTGTGACGTTTATAGCAGAGAGCTAACGACATAATAATTTAGATAATAAGTGTCTATTGATCTTTGTTCATTTGTTAAAATTTGTTTGAAAATTTATTATTTTTTTAAACTAACTTGTAAAGTTAAAAACGTCCTTATTACGAAGTTCAATTAAATTTGCCATTTTATGAAATAACGAGAATTTCAAAAATGATACATTTTAATTAATCAGTTTATTCAACTTTTAACATTCTGAAAAATGAATAAAATTACGCTGACAGCTTTCAAATTATCAGTTCTAGAAATTCAAATTAGTTTTCCTTAGGTTGAAACCCTAAAGTGTTAATGTCAGTATTTCAATAGATTGCATTCATCGGTTGCCAAATGTCATAACCAACAAAAGCATTGGATCCGAGTGTTAGAAGAGAATTCAACGAAACATCAAATTGGTCGCAATTAAACGCTCTACTTGAACTATTAAAGTTGTTTTTATTAATTTTGATGTAGGAACAATTTGAAGAATGCAGACATTCAAGTATGCAGTGCAGATTCGATTTGGCTCTCAGAGATCTAGTTTTGAAGCCAGCTAGTTGCAAGCGTGAGTTCTTGATCCATAGGCGTTCAGAAATTGCGGGTTCTGTGTTAATATTTTTTAAATTTTATCATTTTATAAATTTTCAACTAATTTTTCAATAAATGTTCACTATTTAGATTAACTAACAAAATTTAAAAATTTTGATGTTAGATATTAACCAGCCACTGGGAAAGCTTCAATCTCACAAATCGTGAAGCCGACTTCAACGTCGAGAGCTTGTTAGATACCTGTAGGGGAGTAGTGTTGGGTCGCATGTGACCCGGTGGCCAAAACTGACCTGAGTCACGTAAGGGTACTGACCGCAGAGAGGATAGGAGCCTCTTGCCACAGTTGTCGTTTTCATAAAATAATTTATCGAGGTCAACCCAATAAGGAAGTAATCTAAACGAGCGGCTGATTGTTATTTGTATTTTAAAAATTGGTCAACTTCACTATAAATTTTTTTCAATGCAATTTGTTACTAAATGTTCACCATTTGCATCTCTGCTCCAAACGACAACATGGTCCACTTTGTAGGAGTAGAGCATATCGACGATGATATAATATTGAGCGCTTGTTTCTGCAACAGCATGGAAACACGATCCGGCCCAGAAGTTACGATTCCTATCTCCATCAACTGCCAATCTTGAATCATACAAAGCTGTTGAAGAAAGAGCCGAACTGTTGTGGGTTGGTTTTCTCAGCAGGATGTTTTTATTAAGGTAGGCTTGAATGAAATTTTGATTTTATTTTTTGTTAAATAAATGATTTTATTGAGAAATTTTTTGATATTTTCATTTTAATCTTAGTCATGCAGTTTATAAATTTGTCTTCAGTTGAAGCAAATCATTGGAGAACTTACGTTCAGTGAAATATGGAGAAAACAGATAGAAGAGTATGACATTCAAGTTATTATTAGTTTTAAAAGCCATTTTGATTTTTGCTTAACAGAAATTTTATTCAATAAGTTTGAATTTATTTAAAAATGCAAAATATTCAACTTTGCATCAACATTAAAAGTTAGACAAATTGAATTAAATCAAATATATTTACGGGCTTAAAAGTATGAACTTAGTCAAAAATCAAATCTGAATTAAAGACATATATAAGTTTGCTTTCGAATAACCTGATTTATTAATCTAAAATAAAAAATCCAAATGAGTGAATAAAGAACATAAATAAAATCAATTGAAACAATATGAAATATTACAGAAATTATAAATGAATAACCAACCTAAAATAGAAAAGTTAAATTCCAGGATCGTTCACAAAGCCAACAATAATAAAATATTACCACGTGCAATAACAAAATATGAGCACGTGTTATTTGCATTTATATATAAGATGATACCAAAGTAATGAAACCTAATTTAAAAGCACAGAATAGAAATACATAGATAATTATATGAAATTTAATTTACATCTCTCTCCCTCAAGTCACTTTTTGAGGTACATAAAGTGACAATTTATTAATGTGAAAAAAATGTGATTCCTTCTTCTTCTTTCCGCAGTCTACTTCGAAGATCGACGGTGAAATCTTGCTTAGAATTTTAAACGGACCAACTCTTATTCTGTTCATTTTACCTCTATTAAGTTTACTCCCATTCTGGATATAGACTTGATTGCCCACTTCAAATTTGTACTCTTGACGATTTTTGTCAACCCTTTTTTTGTTTATTTCAAAATTTTGCATAGAATTTCGACCGGCTTGTATTCTATCTGCAGCTAAATCGCTTTCCGGTATGTCATATGGAGTGATAGTTGACTTTATGCCGTATAATAAGTATTCAGGTTCAAATTTCGTGGAACTATGAATTGTCCGATTGCATTCTTTGACACATTCGTCTGCAACAACGGACCATGCCTGTTTTTTTTCACTGTTAAGTTTACATCTTATTCTGTTTACAAGTGTTTGGTTTAGTCTTTCATTTAGTCCATTTGATTGAGGGCAATCTACGCAGGTAAAAACCATTTGAATATTCATCTTGTTTAGATACTGCTTTAGTTCTGTAGAATTAATTCCGGTGTACTGGTCGGCTAAAAGTATTTTAATATTATTGGTCGGCTAAAAGTATTTTAATATTATTTTTCTTAGCAATCGGATCAATTAACTTTATGAAATCTAATACTGGTGATCGAGAAAGTAAAATCAGCCATTATATTTTCCTTTCCTTTCTTATAAATAATTTTAAAGTTGAATTGAGACAAATAGTGCACTAAATCGCCCAATATTTCATCTGTTCTACTTTTGGTTTTTAGATTCTCAAGAGGTTTGTGGTCACTACAAACAACAAATTCACGACCAATCAAATAATATTGCCAGTATTTTATTGCGTCTTTGATAGCTTTGCATTCAAGATGGATGATGTCCATTTTCTTTTCTTTTTCTGATAATTTTCTTGAGAAGTATGCGACAGGATGTAACATACCATCAGGATGTAGTTGTTTCAAAGTAGCTCCCATTCCTTTATAACTGGCATCAGTTTCAATATAAGTGTCTTTGGTTTTATCGTAAATGGCTAAGATTGGCTGAGAACATAAACATTTTTTTATCAAGTTGAAAGAATCTTCACAATCTTGGGACCAATGAAACTTAACATTTTTTCAAGAGCTTATGAAGTGGTTCAAATTTTTGAGCACTATTTTCGATGTATTTAAGGTAGAAATTAATAGATCCTAACACACTTCTAACTCCTGTTTTATCTGTTGGTCTCTTAAGATTCTTGATGGCGATTAAATTTTCTTGATCTGGTGCTACTTTATGATGATACCAAAGTAATGAAACCTAATTTACAAGCACAGAATAGAAATACATAGATAATTATATGAAATATAATTTACACATTGTTAGTAGTAAAGCTTTTGTTTGTCAAATTCGAACGACCATTCACTGACAATAGATCAGAAGTTTTTTATTCAAAGATGGTCGAGTAGAACACATTTATCAAAGTCATACATGATGAATCAAAAACATTTATTGTTAGTAGTAAAGCAGAGCTTTTTTTTTTAATTTTTAAAGTTTGATTTTTTTTAATATCAAGTCTCAAGTGCATGAATTCATGGCAATTCTTTATGATCAATTATGTGACCATTTCTCTTGAAATGATTGATTATAAATATTTTTCTGACTTTGTAAAATTTTTGTTAATGTCATGTTTCTAGACATTAGCAAACCTATTTTAGTGGAATCGAAGAAGAAAAAAAGTTCGTTCCCTTGTCAAAAGACAAAATTCTCAAAAATTCACTGTAGAACGCTAGGAGAAATTAGGTTTTGATCATGTGCGGATAAATTTATTTTTCATGTTTCATGTTCATATCTAAGTTGATTTCTTTTGTTCAAATTTTTTATAATTTGCTCATTTGATGTAGATTAATGAAACATTATATTATTCAATCTGCAAAATTCAAATTATCAAAGCTGACGTGAATGCTATTGAATTTAAATGAAATTTTACAATAAAAAAAACTTTCAAAACAATTTCAAATCAAAAATAACTTGTGAAAATAAGTTCAATCAATCAATCAATCAATCAATCAATCAATCAATCAATCAATCAATCAATCAATCAATCAATCAATCAATCAATCAATCAATCAATCAATCAATCAATCAATCAATCAATCAATCAATCAATCAATCAATCAATCAATCAATCAATCAATCAATCAATCAATCAACCAACCAACCAACCAACCAACCAACCAACCAACCAACCAACCAACCAATCAATCAATCAATCAATCAATCAATTAGCTTATAAAGCGCTATTTCCGCGATGTTCAACAGCGCTCCTCAATGAATTTTGAAAACAGATGGGTCTTGAGATCCGCTCTGAACTTCGCAAGTGATGGAGCATTAGCACAAATTTGTTTTTAACGTCCAATTTTATTCTTTAAAAATTTAATCACGTCAAACATTCCAAATTTACACCGGCAAGAACTGTTCAGTTATGTTGATAGATCGACCAAACTGACTGCCACACATCATAATTTGTTTTTATGAATCTATTATCCAGCTGCTCTCCAAGTTTATCACTTTCCATGAAGCAGATTCTCATTCCAGTGACGGCATTTTGAATTTTCTCAACGGCAATGAAAGAACAATTCGGAACATTCCAACACGCCAGGAAGCATTCAAATGTGATTTTCACATCAATCGTTCTTACAAAAGTTGTAGCAGTGAATATGATTGAGCTATTTTTAATCCACATATGAGCTGTTCACGAATATAAAAAAAATAATTAATATTTTTGTAATACTTGTTAAACTGACCAACAGAAAATGGTCTATACTAAGTTTATCCCGACCTTAACTCTAAAAAATCACGAGTAACTTCTAATCCTAACTCTTGGAACAAACTAAAAGTTTGAATAATTTCTAAAATCAAATGAATTCCAACCTGCCACGGAGTAGGCCTCAATCTCACAAATGGTGATGACAGGATCGACGTCAGGTGCCTGCTGTGCGATGAGATATCTGTAGGCAGGTAGACTTGGGTCACATGTGACCCGGTGACCAAAACTGACCCGAGCTTTGCCGGGGTACTGACCACAGAGAGGGTAGGTTCCTCTTGTTGGGGTGAGAGTGGCGGTGAAGTAGTTCATTGAGGTTAGGCCGATGATGAAATAATTCAAACGGTCCGCTTTGGGTATTTCAATTTTTATAAATATGAAAGGGCATTGTTTTGTTTAAGTTCAATTGTTAGTTGAGACGTTATTAAGAGATTATTATTTTAAATGATGAAAATTGTTAGTATTATGATTCAAAAAACTAACATGGCAAACAAAGATAAATTGAATTTTTGATTTTTTTTTTTATAGAAATTTAATTGAAACAGATATCAAGGCAGAAAATATCAACGCATATCAACGCACGGTACACATCTCGACTCCAGACCAGAACGTAATCAACTCGATAGGAACTTATCATATCGACGATCATGTAATTCTCACTGTGACCACTTAACTCAACACTGAAACAGGAGAAAGCATTGAAGCTAGGATTTCTGTTTCCATCAACAGCCAGATTAGAATCAAACATTCTTACGTCGTCTTTCAGAGCAGAACTATTGAAAGTTGGTTTTTTCAGAAGAATGTTCTCGATTTCTTTGGCTGTGAAGTCGTAATAAAATGATTATGACATTATTAACGAACATCAAACATAAAAAAAATAATTTTCGATCCTATCAATGTCGTTGAAATTATCAAAAAATGTTATTATATTGAACTAAATGTTTAAATTCGAAAATAATGGTGTCCAAAAGTTAATACCAACCAAAGAAACCACTGACTAAACTTGAAGAAATTAATAAAATCTCTAAATTTATGAAAATTTTTATAAGTTGGTTCCCCATTTAATATATGAGAACAATTAAGAAAAGAATGCCTATGACAAATTTTTTATTCTAAAATATAGTTGGATGCGTTCACTAAGCAAATTTTAATATCAGGAGTAGATTAGACGAAAATCAAGAACACCTTTACACACAAACAAGCTAAATAACTAAATATATTGTATAGATAAAAATATTTGTATACACGTGCGTGCGTGTGTGTGCGTGTGTGCGTTTTTGTATGTGTCTACATATTTTACTAATAGAAATTTTCATGAAAACGCATAATAGACGATAGATAATAGATAATAAGAATTTTTTTGCTAGATATCTATAAAACGTTGGAATAAATAAATAATGAACAATAGAAAATCAATGATGCTACAAATTCATATGCTAATTTTCCTATGCTTGCCTCTCTCTCTCTCTTTCTCTCTCTCTCTCTCTCTCTCTCTCTCTCTCTCTCTCTCTCTTGTTTTTATCCGTCTTTATTTTCTTACTTTTTATCTTTTTAAATTTGTGTTTGTCTATAATTAAATAAATTATTAAAAACTTTCTTAATAAGAATGAATCAAATATAGATATTTTTTTATTAATCCT